CGTCGAATCAGGCGCAGCACACCGCAGATCCATCATAAGACGCAATACCGCAAGCAGCAGTAAGCATCAATGCAACTATCATACGGTTGGCGCTCCCTCACAACACACCCACATGATCTCATATCGACTTTGGTAACAGAATTTGTATTGTTGTTAACTAAAAAAATTATACCAACGTATCATAGTAGCACGCTACTAAGACGCTAGTGAACAAAACTCCACGTATCATAGCTTAATGCACTAAGACATGAAGTTGAGTATGCCTGTTACACTTAAAAGTGCTACCAAATACACTCATCCCAATCCGAAAGATAGAAGACGCATCGCTATGCGCTACGACGCCGCCCACAAACGGTATGGGTGTGCGATGTCCACGGGAAAGCTGTGTTGCTACAATAAACCTGCTTACCACCGGCATTAATATGATATGTCTAGGACACATCGGTTAGCGAGTCTAAGTTTACCTCGGATGAATTGCTCGTGAAGCAGCATACACTCCACCATAATAATCCTTTTCAAGTCCCTTATATGGGACTAGTCATTTTGCTACAGTACTAACAGCAGTCGGTCACCCGAACACCCCATAAATGCTTATGCATCAAGAGACCTATAATAATACTTTTGTATCATAGACCTTATTTTCATAAGTCATTATAATAATACTTTTGTATCATAGACCTTATTCATAAGTCATCTATAGGGTGACTCTTTTAATGCAATTCATCAGAGACTTAAGAGCTTTTGTATCATAGACCTTACTTTATAGTCATTATTATTATCATATTATTTTGTTATGCATCAAGGAGACCTACTATAATAATTCTTTTGTATAATAGACCTTACTATTATATGTCTTTAAGATATAGGACTTCAACCCACAACTCTACTATTGTGATGCTTATGCATCATGGAGACCTTATAATAGAGCTTACTATCGTAAGTCCCTAATATAGGACTAGTCATTGTGCTACAGTACTTCAAGCAGTCGGACACCCGATCACCCTATATATATGTACAACTTTGAGTATGCGTCTCCGGCAGCTCCTCCATACAAGCCATCTATACATGAACACCCTCCATAACTTGGAAAATTTTCTTTTATACACGAACTCCCTCCATGATTTAGACAATTTTTAACCAATTTTCTAATTATCTTATAAATGTTATTTATACTATATTAATATTAATTATAATTCATCATAGAGACCCTCTATAGTATTGCTTTTATATCATTGAGTTTATTATCATAAGTCCCTAATATAGGACTAGTCATTGTGCTACAGTACTTCAAGCAGTCGGGCTCGCGACCACGCCATATATATGTATAACTGCAGGTATGTATCTCCGGCAGTTCCGCATTACAAGACATCTATACGTGAAGACCTTCCATAACTTAGGAAAATTTTCATTTATACATGAACTCAGACAGCCTTCGACATTGCGGAGCCGTTACAGAAAGACGCAAGAGGGACTCCTAAGATCGTTCATGTGGATCGCTTGGCGCATTATTATGGGGCCAATAATGCTCGGGACGAGCATGTCTTAGGAGGGGGCAGTGTTGCACGCCTAAGTTGACGTCATGTACCCGGCACTAGCACCATCTAGTGTTGGGGACGAGAGTGAGGGGAGCTTTCCAGAAAATGACATCACTAATCTTTCAACCGACAGCGCCATCTAGTATCGAAACGAAGAACTAAGCTTCTAGAAGCTCGCCGACCTTCTTGCTCGCCGACCTTCTTGACCGTACCCTGGAAAATTTCAACAGCGCGCTCTTCCTCCCGCTGTGGTCTACTCTTGAGCGAAATACCGATGGAGTTGATCTCACATTCTCTCTTGATTTGTTAACCTCTTGTCCGGACTGACGAACGTCTTGACGTCTTCCTCTTTCCGCCCGTTCACGTACGACATATTATGTACTTGCGTACATATAACTCGCAGCGTGGTTCCCTGTATAACCCATCCCAATAACGTTCTCACGGCAATGGGCTGTTTACGATGATCCTATACGTAAATTACGTGATACATTAAATGCTAATTGTCAGATTCGATTAACACGTTAGACTTCACATTATTATAACAAATTCCGTTCCAGCCACGTAAATATTTCAACAGTAAACATTCTTTACCGACGGACTGCGAACCTACATTTCAATTATTAATTATGCGAGCACTTATTACGTATGTCCCGTTTTTCGTCTTACTACGTATCCCTATTTTCACTACGCGGCTGTTAGCCTCTCGTTGGCTATTCGATACACCTCGTATGTTCAGTGGCTTCATCGGCCCTTCCGCACCTAAATCACGAGCTAATTTCTCATCAATAAGTGAGACCGTGGACTCTTCGTCGAGGAGCGCGTAAGTTTCAATCTCCCTACCTTACATCACGGGGCCCATCCTCTACGCGGCGTGTACCTACAACTTTTTTCGACGGCGGCGCGTCTCTCTTTACGGACATTTCCCTAAGCGACGCGGCGGACATGTAAGCATGACTTAACGCTCTGTCACCTTCCCTCATCATCAACCTAGACAATGTGACGATATCCGGTTCGTCAGCACTACCGTAGTGCTCTGCATAATCGCACCATCGTGACCGTAAGTGAGGATTTAACTCCTAGTGACCACTCTTATTAGCATGGGATTCTGTTAGTACCCTTTACCGTCGACGATATTCATAATACAAACTATATTTTAAAGCATAATTGCAAACATGTTCCACTCCTGACCGGTTTGACCCGGGCGCACGATCGATTATGACTTCTGGGCGGCCGTAACACTGCGCTAATGTTCGCATAATATCCGCTGGGTACCTCGCGGTAAATAACAGCGCAGAGACTGCTTACCTGGCCTCACCACGTAAACAGTTTCTTAACCTTGCCATATTTTCCGTATCCGTAAATCCGTATAGCTTAGTGGATTCTTTCATCGCGACTTTAAACGCTAACCATTTCGCGTGTGCACCGTTAAAAAATAGGTAAGTCCTGTATTTGCTTCGCGGCGGCGAACCTAAATCTCACCATGCTCTTTAACGCTTCAGCAAGCCGTTCAATTCCCCTATCTTTCCCACGCAGGGTGGGTGGTTGACTTATCTCTATTCCTATCCCTAATAATCCGGTCCGGCGATATACGACGATTCGGGGATGTATCGCGATAATACAGCGACCGTGACCTATGGACATCGCGACGATTTGGCGACGATAATCTACGTTCCTCGCGGTGATGTGGCGATGACGACCTATGTATTGGCGATAGAGTGTGGTATTGGGCGCGCAACCGTCCTCTCCTGGGCATCTTCATTATACACGGGTAGTGCAGCGGCGTAATCGGTCCCCTTTTCCGTTGGGGCTCGCACTAGATCGACGCGGGGTGCAGGCTGAGATGTGCGGTGGGGTGGCTCCCCCCGGAGCCTCCATGTTATCTAACCAATGATCGACACGGCTCCTATTCTCGGCGACATCAATTGCATCGAGACTTTCCTCATCAGTTTCTTCCTGTAATTGCGTAATGTCCCTAGCGTATTTTTCTTAATAAAATCATACTGTATCTCTAATTGCTTCCTACGAATCGCGGGGAGTTCTTTAGCTGCTACTCGAGTTGTTTGATTCTTGCGATCGCGCTAGCTGTCGACCGGGCTGAACGAACAGACGGGACGCGCGGTACGGGCCTACGAACAGCGTTGTTAACTGCGGACGCGGCGTGTTGTGTCGTCGAATTTGTTTTTGTTATCGGAAAATCTTCAATAATCGAGGCGAGTGTATCGGTACGCGGTGCGGATGTATTATTCTATAACATTCGTTCGGTTGTCGACACGGACATGCGGGGCGCGGCGTCGCGGGCACAACTAGAACTTGGTGTAACCGCACTTCGTCTTTTAGCCGTAAGATATATGTATACCGACTATATTAATATAATGTAATATGTATTATGTACCCCAACAGAAACTGTAAGTTATTAGTTGTAAATGGTAAATTGATACAGATGTGGGGGAGGGGGTAGGTGAGGCGTGGTTAAAAATTTTAATTTTTTTTCCATTATATCATTGTTCAGAATCCAAGTTTCCTGAAGTCACGTCGCACGTATAGCATAAGTCTCTGATGTATCGGTGTTAACTGTTAATGGTGAACGATTCGGTCATTTGACCCGGGTTACGTATAAGTATTGATGATTGTATGCGCATTTTTTTAACGTTCCGGGTTAAACGAACGACGGAAACTACATAATCTGTGACCTATTGACTGTTTGCACGAATTATGAAATGTCCGACCCAACATCGATTTCTGGCCGAAGCCGAAAGCTTAAAAAAACTAAGAAATACAATTAAGGATTGTTAATAATATGAATAATTTTTGACATTAAAATTAAAAGTTTACATTGTCTGATATAAAAAGGTAATTTTAATCTTTCTCTCCGTTTTTAATCAGTCTCCCATTCGCAACAGTTCGTTCCGTTTCGGCACTTGTTAGTAAAGATGGGCGTTTGAACTATGTATAATTAAGCATACAATTTTTAAAACAGCACTTTTGAATGTAAACAATTTAACAAATTAAATTTAAAATTAACGTTAATTGCTTATTCCACTTAATTAAACTGGCTCGCCTGTATTTTGAATAATTTAAAAAAGCACCATCTAGGACTATTATTAATAACAATACAGCTATTAGACTACCGGAGTCAAAATTAAATTTATCAAATTATTCAGACAGTTCATAACCTGCGTTAAATACGAAGGAAAGTGGGTTGAATTTTTAATATAGTGAAATAAACTAATACAATAACAGCCGAAATAGTGTTTGTTGTCCGTTTTAAGTTGTATTCACGTCACAACTTGCTAGAAACCGAATTTCGGCCTATTTGGCCGAAGCCGAAGCTTTGGTTGGACACTACATGGCATATTATCGAAAAAAGATAACGGATACACATCCAAAACCTAACATAAAATAAAGCATAGTTTTTTTAAGTTTCTATAATTTTATTATCTATTTATTTCAGAAATTTATTCTATTTCATGCATCGTATCTTCTTATAGGGCTAGTATCGACATTAAAATTGTTAATTTTAATAAAATTCCTTATAAACTCGCGGTCACTATCCGTTAATAGAGCCCAACTTTCTAGCTCTACTAATATTTCTAAATTCATACAACTTTGTAATATTCTTTCCACAGAAGTCACAGTCATGAAATCTGATTGCAAAATACGTAATTCCCTTAAGTGTATAAGTGGATTTTTGTCTAATATTTGAAACATAAAATCATCAGTAAATTGTACAGCTGTACCAATATGAATAAATTCTACATTTAAACAGTTCGTCAGTAAAAATAGCAATTGTTCGTCTGTACAGGTACTTACACAAGTTAATCTTTTTAAATTTCTGAAGGGTAGTATTTCCAATTTTTTTGTATACAGGGAAGTGTGCTGTATCAAAGTACAATTATAAAGCGTAAAATTTTCAAGTAGTGGACACATCTGACTAATGTACATTAAAGCATTTAAATCAATTTGATCGACATGCTCAAGATGTAAATTTATAATATTACATCCCTTAACTTGAAGTACTTGTTTAATTTGATCCGCATAAAAGTCACATGATAGTAATTTTAGATCACATAGGTGTTCTAAGCCTATTAATACCATTAAATCGCTTTGCAAAGTATTATGAAAAACTGTCATGCTACGAATAAAGGGACACATTTGAACAGCCAATTGTAAGTGATTGTCTGTAGCGTAACGACTCACGTATGTTTTTAGCTTAAGTTGTTTAAGTCCTATTTCCATCTTATGTATAAATTCTAAAACTCTTCCAATTTCGTCACATCTACCTACGTCTTCTAAATTATCGCAATGTAGAAGTAAATTTGCAAAGCCGGTCCAAGTAATTGATGTCCTATAGAGCTGAACGCTCCTCAATTTCCTCAGATTACAAATTATATCAATGCTCTCATTTGATATACATTTTGAAGATGAGACGTCTAGTTTCTCGATAAGGGGGCAATTTTTTACAATACATATTAAAATGTTGTCAGTGCAGTCATAGTTAATAGAAAGATACTTAAGACAATGTAACTCCTTTAGTGATTCGATAATACCTCCTTCCATATCTGCAGTTTTCCATCCCCCTGAAAGTGAACCTAAATTTAAGTATACGAGTCCTTTAAGCATGTGTAATTTAGTATAAAAAACTGACCGAATCATTTTTGGAATTTTATCTATAGATAGGTATGTAAAATTTTTGGTAAAGAGTACCTCTGACATTTTTACTATTACGTTCATTTGTGTGACAAATTTACCCATAGAACCTCCAAACCCCAATGAGTTTTTAGTTTTTTCTAATAAGTCAGATAACGCTCTAATTGTTTCAACTGCTAATGAGTCGTAGACCATCCATGGAACGTTGATATCTAAATAAAAGCGAATAACATCGATGTTCTGCGCTAGAACAACTTGCGCATTACTAATACTTTCATGAGCGAGCTTTGCTGCAGACTCCATTTGTCTTTCCGCTTGACCTGCTATCCAATCACCGAGCCTCATTAAAGCCAAATTCTCCAACTTTTTTGGTTGTTTATATCTGGTCATGGTTAATCTGTAAAACATATCAAGTATATTTAAAAAAAAATCAAGGACTTAATCAACTATTACTATTAGTAAATAATAAACAAATATTATGTATTTATAGGTGTACGTAAGTACAAAATTAATTTTAAATTAATTAAAAATTCATCCGTTTGTGCATTTGAGAAGTGGTCATTAGCACTTTTTTATGTGTTTAAATAATAGTCTAGTCAAATAGGGATTTAACCTCAGAATGAGAGTTAAGCCATATGCAAAAATCGGTGAACATAATCTACATAAAACAATATATGCGCGTCGAATATCACTTTTTTAAAGTCGGATAACTAATGATTAGCCTTGCTTTTGAAAGGTTGTTGAACAGAGGCCTATGTTCAGCAGTGGACTTGTGAAGGGCTGTAATGATGATGATGATGATTGAAAGGTTGTTATTGTTAATAAAATAATATTATTAATGTTTTGAAGACATACAGGTATAACCTTAATAGGTTACGAAGGGCTTAATGCCTGTTAGTCAAACTATGGCGTGGTGAAAAATTGTAGCGGGTACCTTAAATAAGATAGTGTTATTATTGATTGGAATAGTATTAGGATTTGTTAAAACTGGAAGATGGCTCAGAGAAGGGTCAATTATTGTTTATGATGATTCAATATTTCATATTGACTTTCTGATAGATAAAATTCATGAAAAAAATGAATGTGAGCATTATCTATTACGGTCTGTTAATTTGATAACTAGTTACCGATTTGGCTATAAGTGTTTATAACTATTTTGCCCTTTTTCAATGATATTTGTTTTATAGATTTGAAAAATGACATTGTTAACGTTACCGTATAGATATATTCCAATTGATCGACATCTTAATATTTAACTATTGATCATCATCTTTAAGTATGACTTCTACGTAGTGTTGCCCAAAATCGGTCTTGGTCTTGCAGTCTTGGTCTTTTTCTTGCATTTTTGCAAGACCAAGATCAAGAACAAGACCGCCTAATTTTAGCAAGACCAAGACCAAGACTGACCGTGCAAGATTTGAGCAAAAACAAGACTATGCCTGCGAGACTCTTGCGTCTTGCAGTTAGGAATGAGTGTCGTTTCAGGGAGTATGGGAGTTCGGGTATACGCTTAGGGACTCTATGAGACGCAAAAAAAATATAAAAAAAAATTTGGAAAATTGGACTTATGCGCATTACGAACAATACCATAAACATACATAGCGGAGAAAATATCATTAAAAGAAAAAATTGTCCCTGTTTTGACCATCGGCACTTTGATAGTGCGCGGCGTTTTGTTGTCGGCATCATCAAAGGTCGAATACTGACCTGTCAAAGAAATTTTGCAGCTATTCGGAAGTACAAGGTCAAGATACACGCGCCGGCGGCTTCTATTGATATCGCATTCAATCGTCGCCTCCGCGCCGCACACATTTGACACTGTTTGAATGCCGCCACAGAGTACATGTTCCAAAGAATAAAATAAGTTTACGGGTGCTCAGAATGGACACGAATACATTATGCTGATCTCGCAAGGAATATTGTAATTAGATAATGGTAAGGATGGGTATAATAATTACTTACTATTATTATTATTACCTAATAGATAAACATGCAAATCTCGATTTTTGGAAGTGTGTGTTTTTAAACACAAAGTGTTCGAATATGTCGTCACCCATTTGATAAATATTGTAGACACTTTTAACACACTTGAAACGTGTAAACATTTTGTACAATGCTAATCGAATAATATAAAAATTGTGAATATTAAATAAAAGCGTAAAATAAGATCTATGTACATTTTAGGAGCCCGAGTATCTCTTAGAGAGCCGTTTAAAGAAATTGATTGCATCGAATTGATGTAAATAATAGTGATCTGCACAATTTTAATAGTAGAAATAAAAATAAAATCACAATACCTTCTTTCCGGTTACACAAAGTATAAAATGCGTTCTTGGGTAGCGATATACGCTTTTATAATAAGATTCCAAAAGAAATGTTAGATCTTTCACCTTTTCAATTTAAGTCAGACAAAAATGCTTGGAACTGACCTCTCGTACTACACAGGACTAACTAGAAATTTCTAAACTGATTTGGTATCTACATATACATTTGACATTTTATGTGAGGAGTGATAAGTTTACAATTTGACATGAGTGACGAAGAGTCGAATAGTTCTAGTCGGAGTAGTGAGAGTTGGAGTTATAGATCTAAAAGACCTAAAAGTAAATTTGATGAGTTTTTCGACATAATTCATGCATCCCAAATTGCTTTGTATAAATTATGCCAACATAAAAAGGTTGAAATAAAAATGAAAAACAGAAACACTTCAGGCTTAAGGAAGCATCTAATATCTTACCACAAAAAGGAATCACAAATATTTCTTCCTGAAAAACCAAAATTAAGTGGAGATATCACAAGCTTTTTAATAACCACCGGAAAAAGTGGACAGGTAAGAAAAAATATACTTATCACACAATTACATAACACATATTATATTATGTAACTAGCGGCCGCCTGTGACTTAGTCCGCGTACAATATCTGATTTCCTATGAGATTTTGAAATTTTCTCGCTGCAAAAGTCTTACCTAAGTATAAAGAGGCTATATAGGTAAAGTTTAACTATGCAAGTATTTATTATTTAAAACTAATAAAGTAAATGTCGATCTTCATATCTATACTTTAAAAATATAGGACTTGCATGTAACCATTTTACCCCAATTTCACCCCCTTAGAAAGTAGGGTTAGGATTTCGTAAAACAGCTTATTCAGGATTTTATTATTGAAAACTTATAACTTTAATGCCGATTTTCGTGTCTCTAACTTTAAAAACGTAGGACTTTCATACAAATTTCCAACTCCCATTTCACTCTCTTAGGGATAGATTTTCTCAAAACCGTTTCTTAACTGATCTCTATGCCATAAAAGGAACCCACCTTACAAACTTCAAGTTTGTATGTTTTATAGTTCCTGAGATATCGTTATAGTCAGTCAGTGAGTGGTAGTTATATATATATATATATATATATATATATATATATATATATATATGATTATAGTGTTAAATATGTATTCATAATTCACTCATATTTTCATTTGTTTTTATAATTGGCGAGCATGTTATTCAGTAATAGCAGTGACAACATCACGACAGCTACAGTTGATTGGATGGTTAAAAAATATCTTCCCTTCTCATTTTTCGATGACGAAGCTACACAAGTATATTTTCTACTACAGCTACACAAATATGGTGTTTCCTAAAAGGTCCACACTTAGAAGGAAGGTCAAAGAACGGTTTGAAGAGCTTCAATTGAATCTTAAGAAACGACTACAACAATTTTCATCTAAAATGTCATTTACCATTGATGGATGGACGTCAATTGCTGGTAGGAGTTACTACGGGGTCACTATTCATTATATAGACAACGAATGGAAGTATCGATCTGTAGTCCTTGATTTTATACCATCACGCGGTCGACATACTGGGGAAGATATTGCAACGATTTTCCACGAATGTTTATGGGAATATGACATAATTGATAAAATACAGGGTATCACGGTCGACAACGTAACTGCAAATACCAAATTTATGTACGAATTGGACAAACAGCCGCCACACTTTGATTCAGACAATCAACATTTCCGGTGCTTTGCTCACATTTTGAACCTTGATGTACAAAATTTATTAAAGATCTTAGCATTACACAGTGAAACTGACAATAAGGGACAAGAACAGCAGTATGAAGATAATGAAGACGAAACTGAGGAAAATGAAGAATATGTGCCAAATATTGCTGACTCACGTACAGCTATAACAAAATTACGCAGTACGCAGTAAAATAAAAAGAAGTGAGATATTGAAGAGGAAGTTTCAGTCTGCTTGTGAAGCAGCTGGCGTGCCATCAAATCTGAACTCCATAATGGACTGTCCAACGAGATGGAATTCTACACATGATATGATTGGATTTGGTTTAAAAGTGAGAACTGGCATTAACATATTGTGCACTTCTGTCACGGAATTGAATGATTTTCAAATCACAGATAGTGAATGGCAAATACTCGAAAAAATACATAAGTTTCTAATAAACTTTAAACTTCTATCAACGAAACTTGGTGGAGAAAAATATGTTACATTACCGCTGGTCATTGTATCATTCAATCTCTTGCTCGATAAAATTGAATCCATGGTAAAACAATTAGATGAGAAACCTAATCGATCCGAAGTGGATGAAAGGCTCATTCTGGGTTTTCAAGCAGCTCGAGACAAAATGCTTAAACATTATAAAAAGAGCAACTGGATTTATTGTACCTCTAATTTTAGACCCAAGGCATAAGACTCAGACTTTTGACATGACATTATGGGGGAAGCAAATTAAAACAGAAATCCTGCGCAAATTTAATGAACTTTATAAAAAATATAAAAGTCTACACTCAGTGAATGCATCTCTAGAATCACCAAGAAATGAAAAGAAAGTATGTGAATATGATGAAGATGAAGACGTAATAGACTTTGAGAAATTGTATGCATGTCCCTCGACGTCATCTGGATCTGGATCTTTTCATCAAGGCTTAGTTATAGACGAGTTGGAGAAGTACCTAAGTAAACCCAGAGCCGCCAGTTCGGAAGACATTTTAGAGTGGTGGAGGACGCATGAGACAGAATATCCAACTTTATCGAAGATGGCCCGTGATTTTCTTTCAATACCTGCAACTTCAGTACCTGCTGAGAGATTATTTTCTAAAGCATCATTAGTAATTAGAAAACATAGAAATAGGTTAAGTGATGAGTCAGCCAGATGGTTACTTTGTATTAATTCTTGTAAAAAAATTTTGTAATTAATATAAAGTAACAGTAATGTCAAAGCTGTTGTGTACTGTTATGTAATTTAATTTGTATTGTATTTTATTTTTTTATTTAAATAAATGGTAAATTGTATAACTCTTTTATTCCATTTCATATAAGGGTCTATCAATCTCTTTCTAGACAGATAATGTTCTTTATAATACAGTCAAGTTAATGTCATTAATTTGTTTTTTATATGTTTTGACTAAGTTTTAGCACATGTAAGCTTATTAAATGTAAACGTTTATTAAGAAACAGACTAACTCCCGTGGCCGTGAGACTTGGTAGACAGCTCAGTTGGTTAGAGCATCGGCACGGATCGCTTAGGTCGTGAGTTCAAACCCCACCCGGTGTTAGTTGATTTTTCGAATTTCTCATTAAATGTTTAGACATTTATTAATTTGGTTGGTCTTTCTATGGCTATGTTAATTCAAGCTCAAAATGTGCCTACTCTGTAAGTTGTTCTAAGATCTAAAGTAACGTTTAATAAATAACAATAGGCTAATAGATAATTGCGAGACTTACGAGACTCTTGCTGCAAGACCAAGACCAAGAACAAGACTGAGAGCGCAATACCAAGACCAAGAACAAGACCAGGTAAGGGAGAGACTGGCTAAGTCTCGTCTTGTTCTTGCATTTGGGCAACACTACTTCTACGTGTGTACGCACTTAATACGTAAGTAATTTACCTACCTGTACCAAAACTATATTCAAACAGTAAAAACCAAAGTTTCGGGTATTGCCTAGCACCCAATGGCCGAATTCGCTTTTTTCAAAAGTTGCCGAAGTAAATTTTCATTGTGAATAAAGGCTCTAAAACATTTAGTTTCGTGTAGGAAAGTACGTGTTTTTGTGGTCAGTTTGTTGTCAGATCTTTTTCGACCAAAATAGTTTCCATTTCTTGCAATTACTTTGATAGTGCTGAACAACCAACCCACGGCACACAAGGTGGAATCTGTAATTAAATATTAATAAGTATTAAAATAAAACAAAAGGCCGATCTGCTGGGCTTTCTCTTTGCGTCCAACTGGCCTTTTGATGACGGGGGAAACACACCGTCGACTATCCCGCGGAGTGAGTGCTCCATGCAGGATGTCCTGTTTACCCAATGCTCAGTGCGCAGAGCACTTCTTTCCCTTGACGTCAACAAGTTGAGTGGGCCGGATGGCGTCCCTCCTAATGTGCTGAAGACGTGTGCTCCGGAGTTGGCACCGGTTTTAACGCGTCTTTTCCGGTACGCCTACTCCCTCTGGATGACTGGCGGTCCACCACCGTGCGATTTGTAAGAAGTTTTCTTCCTCGCACAACTTCCTTGTGGAATCAACTACCACCAGAGATTTTTCCGGATCGATACGACTTAGGGACCTTCAAGAAAAGAGCCTATTCCTTTTTAAAAAGCCGGCAACGCATCTGCAATTCCCCTGGTGTTGCAGTTTTTCCTGGGTAGCGGTAATCACTTACCATCAGGTGAGCCATATGCTCGTTTGCCCCCTTTCCTATAAAAAAAGAAAAAACTCTTTATATACTATCTGTGGATAGCATGATTTGTGACTCATTTAGTCATCAATTTAAGGAAAAAAATTTGCTTCTTTAAAAGAATTAGTAACTAAGTATTATTAAATTGGTTTAAGGTCAGGAAGGGAAAGCTACGGAGAGCACGTTCTATGATAGATATGTGCAACTAAAAAGAGAGAATAGCAGTGAAATAGCAGCTTCACGCTGCTGTTTTTTGCGTGGCGATTGCAGAGAACCCGATACCCTTTTACTAGGAACGGAGCAATTCATTATAGTTTCCATCGTTGCCAACTTCATCCCATCATTATTCAACATCAACGCATCTGCATTTGTTAGTTGAGGATAAATGTAGAATGTCTATCGCCTACAGCATCCACTTACTATCAGGTAAAGTACGTGCTTGTTTGTCAATTTAATTTTAAAAAAAATGTAACTGTTGTTACAGTTGTAGTAATCTGTGACTTCCTTGCATCTTGACTTTCTTGAGTCGTGTGTGTTAGTTTTTAAACCGTTTTGTGTGTCCGATACACTTTAGTATTCACCACCACGCGTCCGTTTCGATTATAACAAACTTATATGAGTTGTGAGATGTCCAACGTTGGTGAATAGACTATTCGGAATAAAGTTCTTTTGTGGAAAGGAATAAACTTGAGTACAGTGTGTAAAATTGTCCTCCAGAAAATCTGTTATTTGATGAACAGAAATTTTCTTCTTTATAACCTAGTTTTAGTTAAAAGGGGTCACGACACCACGAGCACAACAAAGCTGTAATATTTCCCCATTTTTGTCTATACGACATTTTCGGGAATATACGCGAGGCGTTAATCTTTGTTTAACTCTTACACCGTACTACTACTACGACTACTACTAAATATCATTGCAACGTAATAGTTGTTCGATTGTTATTTTATTTTATTAGCACACAATTTTCATATGAAATCATTTTTAAAACAATCTAAAATAACAGCAGAACAACAGCAGATCTGGTCACAAAAATAGTTGCAAAGGTTTATGTTCAAATATTTAACGTTAACAAAATATTTACTTAATATCAAAAAACATTACATAATTATATTATTTGTATTATATAATTCCTAATTTCCTAATTTATGTGATTTAATAATTAAATTATTTTATGAGTAAAATCTATTTTCGCTCTGAATTGTGAAAGGAGCTGGTGATATATAAGAACGTATTTTTAGTTATTTTAAGCAATGAATACCTACCATTTACACAAAACCTTTACACATTTAGTGACACTGATTTGGAAATCTATTCGTTTTTCTTAGATAATTAAAAGTAACGCTATTATTCCTGTTAATATTTAAAAAAATCTCCTGCGCGTAACACAGCAGAATGTAATGAAAACACAAATAGCGATGTGCGTTGATCTATTTTTACCCTTTCGAAGATTGCTCAAACGTTCTCGAATTAGTTTTAAGCTTGTTTGCACTACTAGATACATTATGTCGCCAACTAATACTTTACGTAAAGAAATTAAATGTGACTTTATACTCGATGAATTTTTACTTTTATAGACTTCATTTATTCCAATTTATTATTTAACTATTTTTTTATTCATAATAATTAATACCGATCTAATAGATTATTTACTTATACTCATGAAATAAAATGAAATGAATGATATTTATTAAATATAGATTATTACATAATACTTATTGAAATTCATTTTTTTATTTACCAACTGGTTTGGAAAATACCTCTATACAGGGAAGAACCAGAAAGAAACTCAACGGTACTTTTTAAAAAAACGTATTTTACATTACAATAATTTTGTTTGTACAATTTTTCTTTAATAAAAATTTAAACTTGTTTATTGACAAATTTTGTACATTTTCTGGGATTTTGTTGCATAAGCGTATATATACATTGCTCCATAAAAGAAAAACTAATTCTGTGGAGTCTAGTAATTGGTATTACAAGCTTCTTCTTCTTCTACAAAATTCTTTTGAACAGGTATTAAAATTCTTTTTGACTCTTGACTTGGCGACGGTTGCAGAAGTATTTAATGACTATGTTGTCAAGATAGGAATATCAGTGAAATATTTCTCAAACAGCGCTGCGACTTCTTCATTTGATCTAGTCAGTTAATTATCAATTTTTATAATTGATAATTTGTGTTACGAGGTATGTCTTTACCGGTTTTGCTATTAATTATACTCCACGTCATTTTATTTTTATTTTTAGCAGTTTTAATTTTAGTGCTAATATCTAAGGATTTGACTGCGGAGCACACTCAAACATTTTAGAATATTTTTGGCGTATTCTCTAAAAATATCGGAAAGTTTATATGATCTTTCATGGTAAAGTTCATATAATCTTCGTCTGCTTTTACGAATTCCTTCTGTCACTCATTCATAAAATCCTTGCGATTGTTACTGGAAAATGTTTTAGAAGTAAATGTTTTATTAAATTAATTGCTTATAAGGGTAAATAGTCTGAATTGTTCTTGTAAGAAAGCGATAGAAGGTTTTTTTTTTATCATATTACTCCCAAATGTCTCCAGGCGTTTTGCGTTAATCGGAACAAACACGATTTTCTCAATTTCCTGTTTTTGTGCATATAAGGTAATGAAACCAGTCCACACTGATCTGAACTTTATTTTTGAATTATTATTTCGTTGATTAGTACATCTGTAAAAATATTCTCAATACAAGTAGCACTACACCCGCAATACGTGTTGCTTCAAAGAATAAATTATTAAGATTGTGTGATTTGAACAATGACCAAAATTTAATACTGATGGAAGAAGCTTCCAGGAGATTGAAAGGAATGTCTCCGCATACTACAAGAGATTTATTATGTTTATTCAGTTTAATTAAAACGTCTTCCATATTTTTTTTCAAAGCTATGAAAGCAATCACATTAGAATAACTAATTGTTATACATAACAGTTAGTCATTTTAATAGTTTCATTAAAGTAAAAAAGTAAGGTACATAGCAGTAGCTTACATACGGCTTTTGTATTGTTTTAAAATAAAATTTATAAAAACTTAAAAGAAGCTTTTGCACGATTGTGCACCGAATAATTTCTAATAATTAATGCCCATATACTCAAATTGTGACATTACGAGACTTAACGACATCTTAAAATTGAGTAGCGTTTAAGTATTTTGTCCTAAATCTTCCAATGGCGCCACGAACTATTCCATCTAATAGAGATAAAAATATATCAGTGCACTTAATCTATATCTATTACTAGCAATCCGCCCCGGCTTCGCACGGGTTATTTTTGGACCTCGAGAACAGTGCTACCTACCGGGTCGAATTTAAACAATCTAGAAACCCATTCAAACGTACACAAAAATTTCGTCAAATACGTTCTAGTCGTTTACGAGTTTTAGCGAGACTAACGGACAGTAATTGATTTTTTTGCTTGATGCTTTAGGAAACTTTTACACATTCCTCCTTAGGCTATCTCTATAGATATCCCAGGAGGTCGCTTTTGGATCTCTAAAAGCAACGGTTTCATAAGATGGTGATGCTCCAATCACAAACTTTATGTGTTTGTGATCAGATATCGAGTTTTCACTACTAACATGCCAGTCATTTATACGCCTGGACATGTTATTGGTAGCAAAGGTTATGTCTAACAGTAACACTTCTTGTCTAGTTCGCGTTACAAAGATTGGTGTACACCCTAAGGCTTATACCTCTATAATATTACAGCAATCTGCAATTTATGACAACTCTTCCACTTCAGAAAAAACAGTAAGGACAATTTGCAGTAAAACCAAATTGAAGAAATATATAAAAGTTAATAAATACATGAAGAAAATACAAAAATTATTAAAAAATAAGATCAATACAAAAAATTATGTAAATGTATGTAAAGGAAAGCAATCATTAACGCTTTTTTTCAATTAATGGGTGCGTTTGGCAGAAAAAAGCGCTAGCAAGCGCTTGTAAGCAAAATGGCGATCGTAAGCGGTAAGCGCTGTCAAATCGTAAGTAGCTATTTTCCTCTAGGACACGATGTTAGTTTTAACCGGGGAACCTAACCTAATTTAAATATATGTTTGTAAAGTATTCATATTAAAAACTTACCAATCATGAATTTTTAATAACGTGTATATGTTTATTCATGTCATTATATTACTTAAAACTAATATTGCACAAAACAACTTATAAACTCTACTTCAAAACAAACAAATTAAATAAGCAAAATGGCGGAAAACTATTTCAGCGCTTATAAGCGCTTGCTAGCGCTTTTTTCTGCCAAACGCACCCATTGTTTTCAAAACATTTTATGAGACCGACGTAGAGTGCCATAAAGCAGAAATTTTTCTACTTACTGACTCCCTTCAAACTGTGTCCAATAAGTAAAAATCAGCCCAAAACTAAATAAAAGAACACGTACTGGCTATGGATAACCTGGTAAAGACATGTAAATATAATGAGGAGGATCCTTAGTAAAACATCAATGTGAGTGTCAGCGGTCAATACTGGTTTCTTCAGAGTCGGTGTGTACTGATAATACTATATCACCACCAAAACTCTATGGCACTACCATAGCACAGGAGATTAAAATATTATTAAAATATTATCAAAAATAATATAATTGTGTATAGCGATGACATGGGAATAAATTTAGGCATAATTTTAAATTACACCTCAAAGGTGCGATTCCGTAGCCAACTGCAGACAGCTGCAGCAGACGACGTGTCGCCGCGACATGTGGCGTCATGTCGCTGCAGTCGTGATTCCGAACCCGACTGCAGACGGCAACAGCCCGTGTCCAGTCGGTTCCACGCCTGGTAATGTCCTAACCATATATTACTTTATGTACGATATATTACTTTCCTCTATGGTCTTAACAAAAAAAATGATTCGTATAGAATGACATTGCAAGAATTGAATCTGATGTTCCGCGTCTCTCTTTAGCCTTCTTCACCCCCGCAAACTCCAAGCACGCCATTTTGTGATGTCAATGTCACTCACCCGTCATTGCTTATTTCGTGTTGATAAAAGTGTTTGCTTCGATCATCTTTAAATCCACAAATAAAGCAACATCAGGGTGAAATTTCGGAAACTGTTTCGAAGGTATTGTGTTACAGAGTGCAATAGTTTACGATAGGACGTTAGATTGCATCAATTACCGGCAAAAACCGACATTAGAAATGGGTGGTTACAGTGCATAGGTTATAGTAACCTCATTGGCAAAAGTAGTGAAAATTAATATATCCATCCGAAAATGTTGTAAGAAGTTTGTAGGAAATGTAATAAAAACAACAAATGAATATTTGGAACAACATGGATATCAAAACAACATTAGTGAACGAATAAAAAAGGAAATAAGGTCCAAATATTCATTTTCGTTTCTCGATTGCCAGTTACACATAGATATAGTTCTTGAAAATTTTTTGAAAATATCTATTAAACTCTGCATTTTAAATTGGTGCACTGTAATCAATAAATTATTAAAAATAAATTATTAAAAAATTTAATTTACTACCAATGCAAACAGCTCTAAATAAGTACAAGAAAAAATTGAAAAATAAAAATTTAAATAAATAATTATGTATACAAACGCTGTTTTATTATTATACCTGAAATACATTTTAAAATATTAAATTAATTGGAAATACTTCGCTACGCTGCTGTAATAATATTTGGCTGTATGGTTTTTGTTCCATTACCTAATGCTACTAGCATTTATAAGTATAAAAAAGTCATATTCAATCGTAGACAGAGAATCCTACTGTCTACGCGTGTCTACGTATTCAATTTTTGCATACGGTTCAAAGACAATACATGGCGGTCTGAAACGTTAGTTTCTCTATCTAGTCTGTGGTCTGTTCCGAGTGTTTAGTGGGCATGATGTCCGACGTGTTTGAAATTAGCGATCGTGATTTATTTTTGTATCTTTTGTTAGAAGAGGAAGAAAATAATAATGGCTTACTTTTATTATACAAGTATAAAGAGAAAAGACACACGTATTATGAAAAATGCAGAGGAAGTGAGTGAATCTTCCTCGGAATCGGTGTTTTAAGAAATATTCTACGTGTTGTCGCTTAGGCGTTGGCGACACTTCTGATCATAGATAAATAAATATGTAGCAAGGTAGGACTGTAGCCCGACCGCATATCAGAAGTAGCTTGCTACATATTTATTTATCTATGCAGTCCTACCAGCGTTGTTCCTGACAAATTTAGAGTTGCCGTATTCGAACTCCAAAATTGCCGGATTTTTAGGGAAAACTAAGAAA